TTTTTTTTTTTTTTTTTATTTCACTGGATGTTTCGATGGCAATTTGGAATTCTTTAGCGTCGTTACGTAAAATAGTGTCTTTCATATGACATTGCCCATTTCATACTTTTAATTTTAACGAGCCCTAAACGAATAACTTTTTGAGCCAACTGGCTTTTCTACTCGGTAGCAACGCAATAGTTACACAATTATTTAATGATTGATCCGTAAGTTTCTTCCTCTTAAATAAACGCCAATGAAAGAGTCCGGCCTTTATACGTAAACTATTTAAAAAATTGACACAAATCTTTGAATTAAAATAGATTTTCATCAAATTATCTCAAAGGCTGCATTTAACTATGAATAGAATGATACGAAATTCGGAATTGATTGCTTGTTTTTTAAGTTTTTGTTAGGTTTTAAACAGAGAGAAATCTCGGTTATGTTGGTTTATATAGCTTCGAATTTGTCTTCCTTTTCATTCTCACTATTCTCAATTTCGTCATGATAACACTAAAAATATCTGTGTGGATTGAGATGGTGCTAAGGCAAATTGACTAAATAGCAAAACGCACACAGGAACTGCAAGGTCTTGTTATCTCACAACCATTATCATATATAAGCAAGAACACGAAATTAAAAGAGGGTTTTCCAATAGAAAAGATAATTAACTACTTGTTACTGAAAAAGTGAATTGTTTACTAAACATATATGCCTCACAGGGAACTTATGTCCCTTCTGCACATCTGGAGGGTGGGGTCCCAGCGGCCACTGATTACGCCGTGAATCAAGGTATGTATCACAAGTTAAAGCATATTATTACCGATTTCAGAAATTTCGGAGTTACAGAAAATTGAAAATCTGTTATCTTTTACTGAACAGACATACAGCAACATGGAATCTGTCTGTTTTATCTAATGAATAAGAAACAGGAACAAGACTTAATGACGTCATATATACCTCTGTCCCCAAAATGCGGCGAGAGAATTTGACTTATCGTATAATGATTTATCGATAATACAGCAATGTCGTTTGTTTCCTTGTCGATTTTTAGTAATTACCACATGGAACACTGATGACCCCAAAAGCCATGCGTTAGACGGGTTCGAGTATACCAATGGAAGACTGCAAGTGCCCGAGGATGGTCGTTACTATGTTTACATGCAGATGTACTTCAACAAAAGGTCACACAACAATAACAACCGTGTGGCTCTTTTTGCCAACAATCGTATTCTCTTGATGATTCACAAGGATATGTCGCCCGGACAGGAGAACACCGGTTTTGCTGGAGGCGTATTCCAATTGAAAAAAGGAGAAAAGATCTACGTGAAAGTCATTGGTTTTAACACCAAAATGTGGTTGGGGCCTAACCACAGTTATTTTGGTGCTTACCTGATATAACCTCTGATATTTTAGAGAAGCAATTTGATGCAAAGCAAAACTTAGAGAGCTCAATAAAAGTAAAAGGAGCGTACATTGTATTGTTTACTTGTGAGTCAATCGGGTATGAAACTAACTGTTAATGAAATGTCCGCCTGGAAAGGGATAATGGGGAGGGTAATCGGGTGAATGAAATAGGGTCATGCTTGACCTTGAAGAGATTGACCCGTGCGCAGTGCTAACATGCTCTTAAAGCCTCATTTAAGCTCATTGTTTAGCGACGTAGGAGTCCTATCCGAAAACGGACCTTGCACGTATAAACTTCGAGTGGTCCTCTTAGAGCAAACCTGAAACCACATTTGTAAGAATTAATGAGATAGCGGTGCAATTAATGCATAGTCACTATCAGTGACATCACGTCGACGTGCCCTTAATAATAACAACTAAGTACGTTTTTCCTCGCAAAAAGAATTTTAGCTATTAGTTCTAGTCCTGCATTATGCAGTTCCTGTCATTCTCTTTGGAGTATTAAATAACTGGAGAAGCTTACATCGCTTCCTGATCCTGACACAACAGTTCGCGGCTGTATATCTTTCAACAGTGGGTTCTGACTTCGAGCAAACTGCGATAGAAAGCCTTCGTAAAAGACGGAACTGAAGACAACTGGTTAGGGTTTTTCTTGATTTGAGGCCATACGCTCTTCCTTCCAGATTCCCTTTAGCGCAGTCATGAACCACAATGGGCCAATTTTCGGTTTTGCAACGGGCGATAGGGCATAGAAAGTCAAGGATTGAAGCAAACAAAACATTTTTAGGTAGAAATACTCGACAACATACTAAAATTGTAAATTTATTTACTCTCCCCAGCCCCTCCTTCCCACCCACCCCTCCCCCTTGCAAAGAAAATAGAAAATAATATTGGGCTAACGGTATGTTTTGATTTAAATGTAAAAGAATAGGATGTCACTGGTGCCTTTCCTTTAGCACTCTCCCACGAACTTTCCATGTACGTTTTTTTTTTTTTTTTGTATTTTAGGATCAGTTTGTTCAGTTTGAAGAGACGTTAAGATTTATGTTGTTCCGTATTAGGGTTATGCTATGTTTCGTGACTTTGTACACTGCATCGCAGCCTTCAGCGCTGACACAAAGCATCTCAAGTGTGTAATTATGCTGACCCTATTCTTGCGTTATTAGTTCAATCGGTATATAAATATATGACCCACGTTTGGTATGGTTTTCCGGTCGTCACGGCGCGGCACATCACATTGAAAGTCTACAAAGTAAATGGTTTAGTGGAAACCAGTTTCAATGGTTTGAGTAACTCGCTCAATAAAATTCCGTCTCGGCCATATTTACACCGACTTAAACCATCACTCCGATTCGTTTTCAATGCAGTTATTTCTTTCCGCATTTTGGAAAAGCAGTGTCGTGTGACCTCGTGGCACAATTTTGGCGTTTTGGTTGACGATTCGTAGAAGTTGATGCTGACAATTCAAGTAAGATGAACGTTAACTTACTGTTCCATACAAGTTAGTATACTTTTCTTTTCAATACTACAAACCAGGCACCGGCTGTACGAGGGCTGCATGGATAACGCTATCAATCGGA